ACTGCTGCCTATATACTTAATCGTGTAGCCTCTAAGTCAGTTGCTTCCACCCCCTATGAATTATGGACTGGTAGGAAACCAAACTTAAGTAATTTACGACCTTGGGGGTGTGCAGCATATGTTCAGGATTTTTCCCATAAATATGGCAAATTAGGCCCTAGAGGGAAGAAGTGTATCTTTATTAGATACTCTGAATACTCCAAATGATACGTGTTCATAGGTGAACAAGCTGATGGAAGTGTGACTGAAATGGAGTCATAAGATGTCATGTTCTTGGAGAACGATTTTCCTAGTAAAGGTGAGATCGATAAAGACTTCTAATTACATGAGATGGAAGATCCCGATAACACACCCACTAATGTTATTGAGGGAAATCCAGATTTACCTCAACATACAAGACCTAGTGGGAGTGTAGCGTCGCCTGACAAACTGAATTCTCAAGAAGTTCAGTTGCGTAAAAGTAATTATAAAAGTATTCCCCGTCGTCGATTTGAGATTGAAGGGAAGCATTTATGATTGCTCCACAAGACGATGCGGAGCCTAAAACAGTTCAAGAGGCTCTCTCATCTCCTAACAAGGAAGAATGGAGAAAAGCTTTGGAAGGCGAAATTGAGTCTATGAGGACAAACCACGTATGGGACTTGGTTGATCTGCCACCCGATCGCAAGGCTATTGGAAACAAATGGGTTTTTAAGATTAAGCGAAGGGCGAATGGATCCATTGAAAAGTATAAGGCTTGCCTTGTGGCAAAAGGCTATACTCAACAAGAGGGTATAGACTATGAGGAAACTTTTTCACCAGTTGTAAGGTTTGCCTCCTTACGTCTTATCCTTGCCATCGTTGCACATTTGGACCTAGAATTATATCAAATGGATGTAAAGACAGCATTTCTCAATGGAGAACTAAATGAAGAAATCTATATGAAGCAACCGATAGGTTTCATTGCTGAAGGTCAGGAGCGTACAGTTTGCAAACTTCATCGCTCAATATATGGCCTTAAGCAATCATCTAGACAGTGGTATTTTCGTTTTCATCGAGCCATAACTTCTTTTGGGTTCACTATGATCGAAGAGGATCACTATGTGTATATCAAACGGTCCGAGGATAAATTTATGATTTTATCTCTTTATGTAGACGATATTCTGTTGGCTTGGAATGATAAGAGTTTGGTTAGAACCATAAAAGAATGGTTGTCCTCTAATTTTGAAATGAAGGACATGGGAGAAGCTGCATATATATTGGGAGTTAAGATTGAAAAAGATCGATCAAATAAACTCCTTGCTATGTCACAAGAGTCTTATATTATGAAGATTTTTGAACGCTTCAATATGCAGCACTATAATCGCACTGATACCCCTGTCATGCAAGGAGAAGGCTTGAGTACTAAGATGTGTCCTAAGACTCCAGAAGAAAAGAAAGAAATGGTAACTGTTCCTTACGCTAGTGTTGTCGGAAGTTTGATGTATGCTATGATGTGTACTCGACCCGACATATGTCATGTTGTGGGGTTAGTGAGCCGATATCAATCAAATCCTGGTCAAGCACACTAGAAAGCAGTTAAGAGGATCCTGAGATACTTGAAAGGCACTTTGGACTATTGACTTTGCTATCAAGGGAGTGATTTACGCTTATTATGATACTCTGATGCTGATTGGGGAGGAGACTTAGATGAGCGTAAATCGACGTCTGGATATGCGTTTTTGCTTAATGATGGTGCAATTTCTTAGAATAGCAAGAAACAGACATGCATAGCTTTATCTACGATGGAGGCAGAATTTATTGCATGTTCTGCTGCAGTACAAGAAGCAGTATAGCTAAAACATTTCTTGGAAAATTTAGCCATTGTCACTGATGTCCCAAGACCAGTAACAGTATATTGCGATAGTCAAGCAGCCATTGCCTATGTGAAAGATCCTAAGTACCTTGGTAGGACGAAGCATATTGACATAAAGAATAACTTCATCAGAGATATAATAGCGCAGAAGGAAGTAGTCCTGCAATATATTTCAACCAACAGGATGGTTGCTGATCCATTCACAAAGGCTGTTCCTAGAGACGTGTTCTTGACCCACAGGAAGTCTCTAGGGTTATGTAGAATGTGATATATAATATTGTTGAGGATCATTGGATTATGTGTGTATATGTATTGTACTTGTTTGTTAATAAATTGTTGTTTTATCAATTAGTACAATGTTATGAGACTAGCACAAACACACATATATTGTTAAAAGGTATGTCACCAGGCAATGATTAGCTCACTCACACGAGCAATCACCTCAAACGCTATAGTAAGCGGGTTGAGATGAGACGATATGTACTATAAATGCTATAAGAGCAGTTTAGTACATAAAACGATTTAATGTCGCCTTGATTGAAATCAAGATGAGGTTTGTTATTCGTATGTGATAAGACCGAACATGATAGTCCCACAATCATGTATGCCTGAAGGTAGCCAGATGCGAGTACTAAATTGGGCGCTGTGGAAAGCGAGCTGATATAGCACTCGGGCTAAACATGAGTGCGTGAGAAGCACGTGAGCATGTTTAGGCTAAGATCCGTATAGTGGATATGATTAATAAATGATATACGCTCTTATAGAAAGAGAAATCCACTATAGCATGTAATTCATACTACATGTGCTTTATTCGACAAATAAGGGATATGAGTACAATTATCCCTATTTATTCATTGTGTGAGTCCTTAAGGTAATTTATAATTTACCTTACTTTGTGCCCTATGTTACTTCTGACTATGTTCTCAAAGTAGAAGATCAATGTTGCTACTTTAGCATGTTACCGGCGGTCATGAATAGATATGGTTTTGTGGGACGTGTCTAGGAAAGTAGTTGTTCTGAAATGAAGAGAGACATGAGTACGAAGGAAGACTATTGTTGTTTTACATCTATCACATGTGTTTATCGGTTGACCAATTATTTCACCTTCAATGGCTTCGGAAATAATTATAAATACATGGTGTTCTTGAGAAAAGTCAAGTTTAGCTTTTAAGGGATAGGTATACTTGGACTGATGTAACAAAATATGTCTGGGGCACTGTGAGACATCAATTGTTTATTTCTTTTTGGGGTTGTAGCCATTATGTTGTCCCTAACAGTTGCATAAGTAGAGCTTCCAAGTGCAGGTGTACTCACTGGTCGCACAGCTTTCTTGCCAGTATGAATTGTTTCTAAGGTAGATGAATGTTGAATGTCTTATGTTCTTGATAGAGCATCATCAAGCCCATCATGTTTGAGTGAGAGATGTTATATTTCGTTGGTCCGCCCATGATGTGTGTGTCTAAGGGACACTATTTGCTCTAATAAGAAGTGTGTCTGAGAGACACCTTTTGAAGAGGTGCGAGAGGAGTTTCTTAAGGGAAGTTAAGGTAACTTCCTCATAACGAACATCGAACAAGAGATAAGTAAATTCTGAAGAACAGAACTCTCGAACTCTCTCTCTCCTCTCTTCATCAAAGAACGACGCATGAGGATTCCGTATCTACTTCGAGAAGACAATCGGTATTAACGCTGTGGAACAAGAATACTTTCCTCGTGATTATATTCGGACCAACGTGAAGTAGATTCGTTCATCGTTTGCTGGTGATTCAACGTACGATCCTAGAAATTTTGTTCGTAGTGCATCGAACAGGTTAGTCGATTCTCCCGACACTCGCTTCCAACAAAAAAAGAAGTAGAAAATGCACGATATGTATCCGCACGAAGTGCAAGCTTTCAAAATGCTTGATCTTCACGCTCAATAAGCACCGACGCGACAGAGAACCTGAGCCACCACACAATGGCGCCGCCGCCGACTTAGTTCCCGTCGCCGCCTGTATATTGACCTTGGATATGGGGTCGACCAACTTGATCCCAGAGAGAGAGAGAGAGAGAGATTATTTGCATGATCTTTAAGCAGTGGGGTATCGTTTATGACCTTATTACTCTCAAATGGTGAAAGAAATGCTAAATTTGCTGGACTCCATTTGGTCTTCATGCTGTTCTCTTGTTTGTCATCTTCTTGATCTGCCGCATCATATGTTCTACTGGCTGCGACTATTTAATGTTGTCATTTGGTTGAGGAGTTCTAAAAACACTCTGAAGTATTTTGCTCCGTTCGGTCTTTAGAAGAATTTCTCACTCTGCTGTCAGTGTTACCCCTATCAATTTAATGACTATTTGATCTTCTTTTTCTGAATATATCGCGTTCCCAAAATCATATGATTCCAGTGTTAATATACCAGGCTTCGTCCTTATTTCTTGTCCCATCGAAAGATGATAGCTTATCAGATGATTATGTGTTAAAACATTGCTACAAAGTAGGAACTACACGTGGGATTCGCGTCTTTTGATGTGGGTTTTGACCAGTGCGGCCTGTTGTTCGTCGAATTGTGACATTTGATTGGGTTTAATCTGGTCCGAAACGAGCTTAGATAACTGACTTTTTCTCGACGGGACAGATATATTCCGCAGACGGCCATGAGGACGAGACATTTTGCTGATATCGTAGACTAGTGGTAAATGGTACTTCATTGATTCACTTGCAATGAGTTACCCAATTTCAAGTCGAAATTTACTTAAATCACAAAGATCTTACAAGTAGAAACATCGCAACTATGATGTCTACTTCTTGTGCATCCTGCTTTCTTGGACATAATATGCAGATCAGAATCTGCTACCCTTCATCTTAAAGCTTCAGGGGAACTCCATAGACTTCACTGAACCTGTCGGTGTAAAGCAACAAAAAGATTTGTTCTCAGTGCATTTAAAAGCAAAAGAAAGAAGTCTTACATACTTGTAATTAGTGAAGCAGCCAAAAATCCAGAAGGGCATGAGAAATACCTGGTCTTTTGTCTCTAAGTGGAGACAAAAAGTAGAAAAGCAATAAAGTTCACAGAAGAATAGGAGACTTGGAAACTTGGATTCAAATAAAAAACAAATGAGTTGGCTGTGCAGGAGAATCCTCACAGAAATCAAAAGGAAAAAGGAACTCTTTTGTTTTCTCACGTATTGTCCTCACACACAAGTTCTTTGCACCAAAAAAAGGTTCTTTGCACTGGTAAGCATAGGACCATTAAACATTATCCACAGAAACAGGAGGATCACATGATTCAGATCTCATGTGGGAATATTTTCTTTTCTTCTTTTGGATGAGACAGGATAAGGAGGGTTGCATCTGCAATGTGGTCATACACTGGTTCAGGCATTGCCTTTTACATGTGATATAATGTGTTGCTATCTTGAATAGTTGGCAAATGGGACAAAGGCCAAATGATAAGAGAGAAGCAAATTTGAGGGAGGACCAGTCAAGATTGCAACTTGTGGGCTTTCAGATTCCCAAGTTTCTTCTCTACTGGTCCATCTTATGGCCCCCACGAGAATAGTATGCTTACCTTGTAATTTCAGAAAAGGTTATCAGGTATTCCAATCTGAATTAGGCTGATAAATCTTCAAAAACCAGAATAGTGTGAATCTTTATTTTTCTGTGAAGTTCAGTGACATCCAGCAGCTTCACAAAGAGTAGGTTAGACTTTTGGCGAGTCGGCCGAGTCAATTGGGCTTGGTTTGGCAAGTGCCAATTAGACTCGGTTTTGGCGAGTACTATCACATTTGTTTGTACACAACCATGGAGTCATAGTTGGTCAAATGTTACAATTCCACATAAAGATGTGCACGCCGACTAACTATTCTTAGTTTTACCCACTCAGATGAAGCAAAGCAGTCTATAATTCTATAGAGAAGAACATCAACAGAATTTGCCTTCAATGTGAAGGCATCAATGCCACAGCATTGGAGATGGCCTCCAAGCAGTGGAGTAATGCAAGAAACCACTAAACGAAATGCAAGAGAAGCCATAGTCCATCCATTAGAGTATATTACCTTCAGCCGCTATTGTTGCTCGACCTGTAATTAGGAAAAGGGACTCTGCCGGACTCGATGTGCTTGAGGTCCTCGATTAAAATTTCGTAGTGTCTCTTCACTTCCTCTGCGGATTTCCCGCCCACGGCCTTGGCGATCTTCTGCCACCTGTCGGGAGTGTCCTTGTCGAATAGAGCTAATGCCTTCTCGAACATCTTGTTCTGCTTCGTCGTCCAGGATGAAGAAGTCAGAGAATTTGATGCCATTTGGTGAAAAAGGAATCTCTCAAAATGCTAAAGAAAAAGAATGTAATTGAACGGCTTGAAGGAAGATGGTAGGAGGGCTGCTCCTTATAAGAAGGAAGGAAAAGGAAGATGTGTGGAGTTGAGCCAGTTGAGAGGGAATATATCTTGTAGGGGGAAGAATATGGAGTGACCCGTTTGATTAGCAACCACAAGAAGATGCAGGACAAAGGAACACAGCTTGTGAAAGAGAGGGAAAATAAATATCCAAAGGACGGTATCTTTGTCTTTTCTTTTGGATTAAAAAAAGAAGAACAACAAGAAAATTCCCACCAAGTTGGACAAATAGATTCAAGTACTGATGGTGATAATACACAAACACAAAATCACATTGTGTTTCTTCTGGTAATAGCATCTTTTTGAGCTGCTAAAGCAGTGGCTGGCTTGATGATTGACAAGATTAACCTTCTCTTCAATTCAAGACAACATGAGATGATAGGATGTGCTTCTGGGGGACCAATAATCGGGTTTTGTCAATGGGTCAATTGTGTTACGGTCATGACCTGTAGCTGTTTGGTTGATGATGATATATCACCTATGCTCTGTACCTGGCAGAGTGCAAGTTGTTTCGCTATGATTTTACAGTAACCCGCATTTCGTTCAGGCGGGGTTTTTTCTTTTGGGTTAATTCCTCACGTACTTACACCACAAACATATATCTTGGAATGTTGAACTCACCAAAACTCTTCCTCTTCTAAACGGGTGCATGATTAGAACAAAGCACCATGATTGACTAATTAAAGGCAAGTTATGTCATCCAGCTGCACTTCTGGATAAGGAGGAAGTGGCTCTCCTCCTCATCAATGACATGTCTATTTTCTCATATTTCCTGACATTTTAACGGACGAGATAACAGTGTCCCCCTCAATGCATTAATTCGGTGTGACTAGTAATTTGCTCTTAAGTAGATTCCCTAATGCAGTTGCTTTGGCTAGAATCTGAAAGTTACAGCAAAATTCGGGCTGAAGTCAAGTGCGTGATGTTCTTCATTTTAGGATGAGCAGCCTTAAGATTTGAAACTAGTCTACTTGTAGTTTTTGATTCAAAAGGAAGCTGAGGATCGAACTATCAAATTGATTATCCTTCTCCATATTGCACTTGAAGATCCCTCCTGATTCTGCGATAGTGGAGGATAATAACAAATCTGCAGAAACTTCAAGGAGCTCAGATATTTTGCGCACTGATATTTTTCTCAACTGGCTCAGATACTTGGCTTGTTTACCTCTGGATAATTTCTTATTCTAACTGTTCAGATTCACAAAAGAATAGTGCAGACTTTCTCCACATCAAACTCGACAATAATCAGAATTTTATGTGCAGATTTTTTAGAAGGGCATTTCTTGATTTTTCGTTCCATTATTTTTCGTCCCCGTTTTCTGCTATGTAGTGATTGATCTTGCTTCCTCCTGTTGAAGAAGTTTATATTATGTTATGGCCTTGATCTTCGCTCAAAGTCAATGGAAAAAAATGACTTTCGGTACATTGAAATTCAAGATAGTTCCACTGAGAGCACTTCTTAAGCGACTTGCTCGGGCCCACCCGGTCTTTGTACCCCAAGAATAGTGTAGTACGTCGAACACCACATAGCTTCCGTTGTGCTGTATGCACAATTGTATCTCTATGTTCCAAGACTCTCCAATCGCTAATCTTTCGCTCCCGCTGCAGTTTTCAGCTCATTCATTGTGTGACAGCAGACATTCCTAAAATAAGGTCAGTTCCCAGTCAATTATCAAAAAAGCTTCCGAGACCTCCATGCTAATCATGGGCTTTTAACTTGTCTCTCTTTTCTTTTACATGCAATTCAAGTCTCTGACTATTTCTGTCTGATCTGAACAGCCTAAGAAGACCAGATTCATGATATGAATTCTACTAACACTAGGACCTGCCGACTACTACTCAAAGGATATTATCTCGACAGCTCCATTTTATGAGCAACTTGGCTATTCTGGGAAGCCCAGAACCACAAAGGAGGATTAGGCAACAAGAATCTGACCTTTTTGGCAAGTGGAATGGCTCATGGACACAAGTTTACGCCATCCAGAATCAAGGCGTTGCTTTTTGATCATAAAGTGATTGCTACCAAACAAAAAAAAAACTTTACTCCTTTTCCAAACCACTTGATCTGACATTGTCTCTCAGACATTAGATAAGGGCTTGTTGGCAACACGCAAGCACAAGCCCGACTACAAATGACGAACCCTAGTCCTTGCCCTTTAAGGCTTTTCAACATGCGTAGCTAGACTCATCTTCACTCACCAATTTAAGCAATCGAGCAAAAAGCCAAGCCGACATAATAACTGTTTCATACCGCATTAATTAAATCAACGGCAGACCATTTTTACTGACACCCTCACATGTGCACATTGACCGGGTTAACAAATTGATCTGCATAGCCCTTGATCACAAAAACAAACGACTGCTGAAGTACTAGATTCCAGACCGACCTTTACCAGTTAAATGATGACGTACTACACATATCACAGTGGCAATTGGCATCTGGGGCGAAAGGGAAAAAGTTTATTCTCTCCTGTTGACATGATCTTCGGTGAAACCGGGTATCGGAATGGCTTGAAAAGCACGACGTTCGTTATCTGGGATGGCGCTAAAAGTACTGGAGATATGAATTAGTTGGGTTCACATCGATCTCACCAATCATATGAGAAAGCGGATGCACATATGTTCGCTCGTTTTACGACGAGAAATATCCTTCACCGAAATTTCGATCTTCGGTTTTTATTAAGGTAGGTTCTGTGGTTTGACTACTAGGAGAGTTGTGGTGAAACGTAAAGTATAACACATGATTGTATGGAATGGATAGAAATCTGATGGATTGAAAATGGATCTGGACTAAACAGAGTTTCAAGCTATTTACAATACTCCTACGAAAGCTGTAAATGACTCAAAAGTTAACTAGAGCTACAGGAAGCTGTAAATACAGGAAGTAAAGATGCATAGGAAACTAAAGTGCAGATAAGCATGAGTGTTTTTGCATTGTTGTTAGTCGTGTCCATCTTCTTTGTTTCCTCTGAGTATTTGTATCTCCCCATGTCCTGCAACTGCTCGTCGGTTACTTCCATGTTTTCAAACTTTGAATATTTTGGCGCTTCCAATAACTGCCTTTCTAACCACGTTTTTTTTTTTTAGTTTTGTTGTCCGCCAAAACTTGATCTCAACCGCTAAGATGATTTCAAATCTGGACAAGTAACTTCCCATAATATGCTCGTGCTCACTATCCCCACTTCTGCTCGTAACTTCTTGCTGTCGTGATTTACGTGATTGGACTGTGATTCTTCAGTGCATTCTCGAAGCGTGAACCTCCCGAATTTCTGGAAAGTGTCGTTGTCCTAAGGTATAAATATTCCAATGTCCCGAACTATAACTCTCCATATTTCGGTAAGTATACATATTTTCATCAACTACCGAATTTGGGACACGATACCATTCACACTTGCTTCTCAACATGTTTCCGAATTTGGTCTAGACGTGTTTCGGCAAATGGTTGATTTCCATTATACACCATATTCGGCATTAAAGCCGATTCGGCACTTATGCCGATTCTTATTTTGGTGTCAACATATGCCCCCTTTTAAAAGAATTAAAAGAACTTTTAATTCTTTTAAATGCCGAAAGAAAAGACACTTACGTTTTATTATTGCTGTCGCTTCGTCACCTCACTTCGCGCGCTTTGCCCTTTCGTCTTCAAAACCTTCTTCTAAAAATCGTTCCTTTCCTCGTGCCCTTGCATTCTCACTTTTTCGACTCTCTGCAACTTTTCGATTCTCTGCATTCTCTCTCGATATTCATCTGAACCCAATGGCTTCCAAGGCTTCCAAGGAGCAAACTTTTTCTTTTTCTGCATCATATGCTCTTGATCGCTACCATATATTCCAAGATTCTGAAGATTTCAATGAAGAATTTCATATGTTCTCCGTGGAGAACGATTTCGAAGATTCTTTCATCCTTGGTCCAGCAGTGCACAATCAGTTCTCTGTTCCAAGGTGCCTATCAAGCCACTTTCCACGTCATCAATTTGAAGTGCTTCCAGTCCACGAGTCATTGATTTTGGCATATCAGTGGCATTCTCGTCCACCTCGCCTTAGGGCTTTTTCCGTCTTTGAGCCAGACTTCTACTAGTGGTATCCTCGACTCCTCCCTTCTAAGGGTCCCCTTTGGGATACCCTTTTAATTCATAATGCTCTGCGTCTTAGCTGTTTTGATTACCATTTGAATCGTGAGCTAATCGGAGCATTATCTTGCTTTTGGTCGCCTTCCACTAATTGCTTCTTTTTCCCATTCTCTCCTATGTCGGTAACTTTGCTTGATGTATACTGCCTCACTGGGCTCTCTCCTTTGGGTACAGACCCATCTACCCTGTCTCCCGATTCTCGCTCAATATTTGGTAAATTATCTGATTCTGAAATGGCCTATGGGGCATTCATAAAAAAGTACTTCAAAAGGAGAGTGTAGTTACCGACGAGGACTGTACTGCTTTTCTTTTATACTAGCTCTGTAAATTCCTTTTCTGCCATCCCATAGTTAGGATTTCAAATGATTTCGTTGTTGTTGCTTCCACTCTAGCATCAGAGACCTCACTGGCTCTAGGTAAAATCATGTTAGCCTTGTTATATCGGGGTCTAGCCCATGCTTCCTCCTCCATTGCTTCAGAAGAAGTTAGTGGAGTTTTTGGTGGTCCTCTGTGGCTTCTTTAAGCATAGGCGGCTTTCTATTTCCCTACCTGGTTTTCTAAGGATCAAGTTATTCAGCCCCTTTCGATCTCCATTCCTGACCATCCAGTTTGTCAGGCCTTGAATAGAAAATTAATCTCTGTTGCCGAAGAGCCATCTTCTTATCTTCGGTATTTTATTTCTCAAATCTATTCTGCTGAGGAGAACCCATATTCCTTCACTCCTTTCTTCGTTTCCCGATTCAAGTCCTACCTCCCTGCTTTCCAGAAGAATAGGAGTGACTTTTGGCAGACCGTTCTGACTTCTGTTGATCTTCCTGTAAGATTTTCAACAAAAGGCAGATTTGTTGCTGGTTTTGAAATTTACTCTCCCCAATACTGTGCCAGACAGCTTGGGCTAATTTAAGGGGTTCCTGTTCCAGCCCTGTATACCTTTTCTTATGCTTCCTTTGACAAAATATCCTGCAAGCTAAAAGATAA